TCTCATTCACCATCTGTAGGAGTGGCAGCTCAGACAGCCACAAGGGGCAGCTGGCCAAGGCTGGGTTTAACTGCTAGCTGGAGTTTGCAAGGCTTTGGGTGGGAAGACAGTGACATCCATGCAAGGACACAAATTATCCAAGGAGCCCGAGAGGCCAGGAAGGACAATGTTGCATGTGGTGGCTCTGAGGTCTTGCAGTGTGTGGTGGGGTGAGCTGGGCCCAAAGGCCCCCTACAGGAGATCTCGGGGCTCTGCCACACCCATCCCAGGAAAGGAGCAGCGGAGAGGTCCTCCAAGCAGGCTAGAATGGCTACAGGGAAAGCAGCCAATCAGGGCCCAGAAGGGCCATATAAAAGGAGCTGCAGAACAGAGCCTCAGTTAGTTACTGCTTGGAGCTGGAGAAGAAAGGACTGTAGGTCTGAATGCCTGGAGAGCTCACTGTGGCCAGGGACCGAGGGGGAGCTGGATGCTCTTGTCAGGCTGCTGGGACTGAGCCAAAGAGAGTTTGCTAGCTAGGACCAGGAGACCGTTGAGAGAGCCCCTGGCCAGCTGCTAGGACTTAGTAGGGACTGAGCCTAGGTAAGGCTGCCTGAAGACAGTGTCTCCAGGGAGGAAGCCCTGGAGATACAGCCCCACACTAGGGCTGGACCACTTAAAGATGAAAGCCCCGGGAGGGCTAGAAACACAGCCCCGGTGGATGCTATGCCCCCGAAGGGGCCTGTTCTGATTAATGTGCAGACAGCGTGTGACTCACTCGGAGCACTGAGGCACGGAAACCCGCCTGAGAACCGCCCAAAGGAGTCACCAGGACTGAAGAATGCAGACATGCAGAACCAGAGGGGGGCACTTGCGAGGGGTGGGTGGTGGCCCCATGACACGGTGCTCCCAGGACTTCATCAGATAGGAACAGTCCAAATCCATGGGGCTGGAAGTGGAGTCCCGGGCCCCTCGTGTGTCCATCCGGGCACCTGGGAGTCGTCTTGGATATGTGTGACCTGGCCTGAGATGAGCCTTCTCTGCAACCAATGTCTCTGTCCATGGCTGGTCACGGTTCTCGTCCGTCCTCCGAGAACCCGGGTGACATGAAGGGGGAGGGGTCGATGCCGATGGAAGGTAGGTGGCCCAGGGTCTGGCCAGATCTCACTGCTTATGTGTGTGGCCTGTTTCTTTTACGATGTTCTGAAAGCTGGCAGGCGTCACGAGCCCAGGGCCAGGCTGCTCTCAGGGGGCGGAAAGAGCTGGTGCTAGCCCAGGTGGCGAGGATCCCTCGTGCCCACTCCAAGCTAAAGACACGGCCTGGAGCTGGCTGAAGGAGCGATGCGGAGGCTCCCTGAGAGTCGCTAGGGAGGAGAGGGTGGAGCCGAAGCTCTGGGCCAGTTTCTCAGAGGAGCTGCTAAGGCCGCGCAGTGAAACCGGGAAGCCTTGGGGACGCCGGCATCATGCCTGGAGCCTGTTCCTCACCGTTCTGCCAAGGGATCTTTGCTTCTTTTGGAGATCCCAGGCCAGATGTTGCTGGTTTCGCAGGCCAAAGGGCTGGGCTCAGGCAACTTTGTTCTCTCGCCGGGGACTTGCCCGCATGGAAGCGGGACCCCCTCCGGCGCGTGCTGCTCACCGGGCAGTGGGCGGGGAGAGCTGAGAGGCCGGGGGAGCCATGGCATCAGTCGTGTCTGTCATGTCGGGGGTCTCCAAGAAACTCACCAGTTCCAGCAGCTCTGCACCACCTCCTGTTTCTCCCCGATTCCCTCCAGTGTTCGCAGATACTTATATATACATCTCAGAGATTTGGGTGCCTGTCTGCGAGTCCGTCCGTCTGCCTATCTGCGAATCCGTCCGTCTGCCTGTCTGCGAGTCCGTCCGTCTGCCTGTCTGCGAGTCCGTCCGTCTGCCTGTCTGCGAGTCCGTCCGTCTGCCTGTCTGCGAGTCCGTCCGTCTGCCTGTCTGCGAGTCCGTCCGTCTGCCTGTCTGCGAGTCCGTCCGTCTGCCTGTCTGCGAGTCCGTCCGTCTGCCTGTCTGCGAGTCCGTCCGTCTGCCTGTCTGCGAGTCCGTCCGTCTGCCTGTCTGCGAGTCCGTCCGTCTGCCTGTCTGCGAGTCCGTCCGTCTGCCTGTCTGCGAGTCCGTCCGTCTGCCTGTCTGCGAGTCCGTCCGTCTGCCTGTCTGCGAGTCCGTCCGTCTGCCTGTCTGCGAGTCCGTCCGTCTGCCTGTCTGCGAGTCCGTCCGTCTGCCTGTCTGCGAGTCCGTCCGTCTGCCTGTCTGCGAGTCCGTCCGTCTGCCTGTCTGCGAGTCCGTCCGTCTGCCTGTCTGCGAGTCCGTCCGTCTGCGAGTCCATTTGCTCAAGAACTTCTACATGGGAACACGTCTGCACGTTAGAGGTGATACGGGGGATCCCTGCAAGCTGCAGAATCGCTATTTGCAGATCTCCTGTCCTGGCATGGGAAGGGCAGTGGGGGCCAGATCTGCGGCTCCCGTTATTTGTGAATTTCGCCATTCGCTGGAGATGCGGGAATGCTTCCACAAGTAGGAGGGAGAAAAATTGTTCCCCTTGGCCTCTGAGGACAGGACAAGGAGTAATGGGCTTAAAGTGCAGCAAGGGAGGTTTAGATTGGACATTAGGAAAAACTTCCCACCTGTCAGGGTGGTTAAACACTGGAATAAATGGCCTGGCAGGCGGGAGGTTGTGGAACCTCCATCCCTGGAGATATTTAAGAGCAAGTTGGACACACACCTGTCAGGGATGGTCTAGAGGGCGCTGGGTCCGGCCGTGGGGGCGGGGGACTGGACTCGATGACGTCGCGAGGTCCCTTCCCGTTCTAGTGTGCTAGATTCTATGACTCCACCACGAATGGCTTTGGTTTTCCTGTACTCGACACGGGACATGTGGAGTCAGCTATTGCTGGGGAGCACGTGGGGATTCTGTATCCTGTCGTGAAGCTGGTGCAGCGTTGGTCAGTTGCGAGGCCCATCCAGACAGCGAACAGAAACGAAACCAGGCGCCCTGTGTAAATATCCAGCCTGTGTAAACGCCTTCCCCCCGCCACCAACTGTGCGGATGTGATCCATATGCCAGGAATCTGGCCCTGACACTGTCTCGGGATGGGGGAGTCCCTGGGCCCTGCACCCCCACTCGCAGTCAGATTGACTCTCAAGCCAGCAAATAGAACAAACGCAGCCCAGGACCAAGAGCAGGCCGTATTATTCCTCTCGGAGAGAAGAGGTCCCGGGCCCTTCTCCCCCCTTTTCTGCTCTAAGCCCCTTCCCCAGGCCCTAGCCCCGCCTCCCCCTTTGTTCCCGTTCAGGGGCCCAAGGCGTGATTTGCTGTCCCCGGGCCCTCAGGACTGCGAGGCTCTACGTTCTGCCCCAGTGAGTCACGCCCAACCTCCCTGTCCTCATTCAGATAGCATTGCAGTGCCCAGGGAAACTGAGGCAGGCACTCACACGTAGTGTCATTACAGAACCGTGCAGGACCACAGAATCACATCCACCCCCCAAGGCAAACAGAATGAGTCCAGGGGCAAACAGAATTCATACAGTCCCCGCTACAGCACAGACGCAATTCACAAATAATTTCAAATGACAAAGTCGATCCAGAGTCTGATCTATTTGGAACAGCTCAAAGGGCAAAAGGCACTGGCTGCATTGCTCAGCTCTACCCACCCCCTGACGGAGGGAGCTGTGCTCACGATACTGTGACCCATGACAGCAGGGATACTCACACTGCGATTCACAGTGACAGGGGGCTTTCTAATGCATCTCCTGCGGCTCTCTGAGGCTTTAGAACCCACGTGACTGAACATATGCAAGTCAAGAATGACGTCACACAGCTGGCTCTTTTGGCTAACATTGCTCGCTGATTTGGCTGCTGACCCACCGATATTTGGCTATCACTGCATTACAGTCAACATTTGCCTGCTGATACCATTTGATTGTGTCATCTATTTCTTTTTTTAAAGACTGAAAAGATTGGTGGTGTCTCAGATGCCACTGGGTGGTAAGTGTTGGTAAATACTGACGTTTTCGTGGAGACCACTGGGGATCAAATAGAGCATATGCTGAAACTTCCAGCCCAATTCTTGGGGCTGAAGATGGTCTGGTCAGAAGCATCTGACCAGTGGGTTGCTTTCTAGACGCCAGTTGCCCATGATGAGTTACGTTCCCCGTTAGTGGGCACATGGCATGCCCAGGGGAGACTCTCAGAGGGTGCGGATTTGAACTCAGACCCTCCACTGCACCTTCTGCCTTCCACTTCCTCTCTGTCCTGTTGCTCTCTTTTGAGAGCTCGGCGGCTGCACCAACCACCTTGCTGTTTTTCTGAGGAGCTTCTCTGAAGTGTCAGCGTGAGCCTCCCGAAAACATTGCTGCCAGGGCAGCAGTGCCGTGCATGCGTGCGTCCGTTGGTCATGTAATAGATCAGATAGATCTGGGGCCTGATTCCCCCTTGGCATCACAAAGACAGAAAAGGGGGTGGGTCTCGTTTGCACTAGGACACCACTTTGGCAGGGCAGCGGGGCCTCCAAGTGAGCGCAAATTGCAGTTCCCATCGTGTAAGCCCCTTTGCCTGGCCCTAGTGGTACGAGGGACCTCGGCGGGGTACTAAGGGGGCACAGAGAGGAAGTCACTCCTCACTGGCGCCGAGCACGACACAAGGGGCAGGACACCAAAGAATCGGGCCTCTCGACTCGGGGGCTGTAACGTGCTGTGAAACGATGCGGTGGATTTAATTTGTTCTCTTCTTCCTGCCCCCACCTCCCTCTTCCTTTCCTTCTGTCACACCCCCTTCCTGCCCACCCTGCTTTGCCCAGCTTCCCCTGCCTTTTTCTCTCCCTCCGTCCCCTCTCTCTCCCGCTTACGCCGCTCCCCCATCCCCTCTTCCGCAGGGGCAATGCCGCCAAGGGCCGTTGCTTCCAACTAGCACATGCTGAAGCCGTTCCGCCGGCCCGGGCCCAGCGTGCCACGCCGCTGCAGCTGAGGATGCCTGGGAAGGCCCCGAGGACTCCTGTGTCTGCATGAGCGGTGGCCCGAAGAGAGACATGTTGGGCTGGTACAATGCTCCCCGCGCTGAGACGAGCATCCCTCACCATGGCAACCGCTTGGAGGCTCCTGACGTGCGTTCTCATCCTCACCACAGCGGCGGGCGGCTAAGGTAGGGTTGCCCTGGGGGAGGGGGAGGGGGGCTGGAATTGCGCGCCACGATGGTGCACCGCTGGCTCTGGGGTGGGACGCGGCCCTGCTGTGCTAGGCCGAAGTGGGTGTCGCCCGGGGGCACTCCGGGGTCTACTCATCAAGGTATCGGCCTAGTTCTACAGCCCTCGCCAAGCCAGGGCCAAGGAGCGTTTCATCCGGCGACTTGTTTGCAGCGCTCTGTGCTCCGGAGGCCGAAATGTCCGAGCGCTGCTGATCTGCCGCTTGGTTCCAGCGTATAACGCTGCGGTGAAGCGGAGCCTCTGGCATTTTTATGTCTGGCTTTGTGAGCGAGCGGCTCTAAAGGGAGGTGGCGCAGGGGTACGCGAGGCGAGCCAGGAGGGCAGTGTCTGGAGGGGGAGAGCCGCTGAGCTAGGGAACCACAGACTCCCGCTGCTTGGCTACAGCAGGGGACCCAAGAGTCGACTCTTGCTCCGTTTAGACTGCAGGCTTCTTTTGGACAAAGCTTTTCCGGAAGTGACCTTCTTCCGAAAGAGAGCGTCTACACAGCAAAAGCGATCTGCTTTCTCGAGAGTGTCCAGACTCAATGGAGGCTCTCGCATGTCAGCTGTGATTGCGATGGACAGAGCGGCCACCAGGGCACCTGTGCTTTTTCCTCTTTCCTCTTCTTGCGAAAGAGCTCCCTCTTCCCCGTCCACACGCGCCTCTTCCCGGAAGAGCTCTTTTGCACAAAGGCTTCTTCCTCCTAGAAAGAGGGTTACCAATGCCGGAAAAAACCCTCTGTTCTTTCGATTTCTTTGTTCGAAAGAACGTGATTGCAGTGTGGACGGAAGTGAAGGGTTTTTTCGGCAAAACGGCCATTTTTCTGAAAACACTCTGCAGTGTAGACATACCCTGGGTTACGCCTGGAGCAGTTATAGACCCTTCTCTGCATGGGTTGCAACCCAGCACTGGGCCAGGAATGTCGGGTGCTGGGGCTCATGGCTGCAGGGGGATCGGGGGAGCAGTGGGGGGGCTGAGGCAGCTTCCTGCTAGTCCTGGCACGGCAGACTGCGCTGCGCCCCAGAAGTAGCTGGCAGCAGGTCCAGCCCCTAGATGGGGGGAGGGGAGAGAATGTACAGGGTTCCACACGCTGCCCCTGCCCTGAGCACTAGCTCCCCACTCCCACTGGCTGGGAACCTGCTGCCGGCTGTTTCTGGGGGCAGCCTGGTCTGTGGTGCCAGGAGAGGCAGGAAGCTGCCTTAGCCCCCCTTCCTCCTCCCTCCCCGCTGCACCGCTGCCCGGGAGCCATTCAAGGTAAAAGCCTTCTGCCCCTGCCCTGCCCCCCCAAAGCTGGAGCCCCCTCCCATACCCCAAAGCTCCTCCTCAGCCCCAGCCTGCAGCCCACACTCTACTCACATTGTGTCGGGTTGTGGCATCGATGATTTTCTTCTACTGGGTCATGAGAAAAAAAGTGTGAAACCCGCTGTGATCCGGACTTTAGCCAGCCCCAGGTGCTAGCTGGAGAGAGGGCGGGGTAGCCGCCCGTCAGCACTTCAGGGGAGCGGGGCCG